ACTGATGTGTTGTGGTTGGTGTATAATCGCACAACTAGTTTTGGTTGGTCACATTCTCACGGTACAGGTACGGTGGTGAATTCAAGCTGAATTTCCGGCATAAGCAAAGCTCTGTTGATGTGGGAGGTTTGTTTTCACGGTGTGTAACAACTTTGCGAAAGTATTTCAATTATACGGTGGCCCATAAGTGTCACGGCAACAACTTTCGAAATGTCATGGCCACATTTTTTAAATTCACGGCAACAACTTTCGAAACTACACTTAAACACTTAAAGTCACGGCATACTTTCAAAATTGACCGCACACTTTTCATATCAATTCCAGGAGTGGCACCAGCGGGAGGAACGGGGGGGGGGCAGGGCCCTCACCCGTCGGGGAGAGCCTCCCCCCCCCCCTGTCGGGGAGAAAAAGCACAAATCATATGTATTTTCTACATATTAGTAAACTCTAAAATCGATTAAATAAGCCTTTGAAACCCCTAAATTGTAAAAATTTTCGGAGGCTTCGCCCCCTGGACCACATTCGGAGCCTTTTAATCGAAGCTCGACCACGCCCACTTTGCTTTCGTCGGGGGAATCTGACCCTTCGTCGGGGGCGTCGCCCCTCCCCCCTCCGTCGGGGACCTCGGACCCCCCGTCGGGCAAATCCTGGCACCCCTGATCAATTCGTTAGGCTGTTAAATGCACACATAAAAATACAGATTTATTCAGGCAGAAACTACACTGCGGACTGCTTATCATTAGACAACATGATTCAGTGTGGGATATTTGTTCAGTTAATTCAAACTACCAATTGGCTTATAATTATGTGCCTCCCATCACATTCTCTTCTCTCATTTATATTTGAAGTCTCTTACTCATTCTATCATATAGAGGTACCGTACAGTATTATACTGTAGGCCTATGTACTATGGTATTATAACCATTATTCCTTACGATATCATTATCATACTATAATATATTTAACTTACGAACTGGTGTTGTTGAGGGAGCTGTTGTTTGATCTTCTGTGAAAATACAATCATGATTCATCAATGTTATCATAATGTCCTTATGATTAAGGCTAACTTTTAAAATGCATAAATTATAAAAATGCACGCTGTTAACACACTTGTTGTTTATGGCGATGCTGCTGTGGCATCGGTAAAGAAATGTAAATGTATGCCTAAATATAACGGTTTACTGCTTCACAGTTTGATCATAAATCACATTACATTCACACACACATCATTGAGTATTAAATAAAAATTTAAGCATAATATTATGAATAATAACAAACCGTATCAAAATACTTTAATGATCACTGTAATATTTTAGATTATAAGTATTATACTGTATCACTATAGTAAGTCAATGGTGACTTCATGACTGTTATTACATATTATAACTTAAGATTCTGGTGTTGTTAAGGGCGCTGTCGTTTGAACTTCAGTGGAAATACAATCATGATCCATCAATTTATGATATAATAAATATACTTATGATTAAGATTTATTATGATCAACATCATTATCACTGTATCTTCAGTATATCTGTTCTTATTATAATCATTATTCGTTATAATATCATTATCATATTATAATATATTTAACTTACTCTCTGGTGTTGTTAAGGGCGCTGTTGTTTGAACTTCTGTGGAAATGCAATCATGATTCATCAATTTATGTTATCATAATGTCCTTATGATGAAGTTTTATCATGATCACCATCATTATCAGTATGGTTTTCATTATTAAAATTAATCACTATTCCTTTAAATATTATGATCATCATAAACAGGAGCAACAGCATAAAACCCATCGTCATAATCTTTATTATCAAAATAATAATTTGAATAATAACCATTGAGTACCAAATAATAATTTGAACATAATATAATTATATATAATAACTCACCATAGCAAAATACTTTTATTATCACTGTAATATTTTAGATTATAAGTATTATACTGTACTTTATAGTAAGTCAATGGTGACTTCATGACTGTTATTGCATATTATAACTTACGATCTGATGTCGTTAAGGGCGCTGTTGTTTGAATTTCTGTGGAAATACAATCATGATCCATTAATTTATGTTATCATAATGTCCTTATGATTAAGATTTATCATGATCATCATCATTACCAGTATCGTTTTTTATTACTATAATTAATCACTATTCCTTGTGATATTATGATCATCATAAACAGGAACAACAGCATAGAAACCATCGTCATAATCTTTATTATCAAAATAGTAATTTCAATGATAATCATTGAGTATCAAAGAATAATTTCAAAATAATATTATAAATAATAACACACTATATCAAAGTACTTTTATGATCACTGTAATATTTCAGATCATTAGTATTATATTGTATCACTATAGTAGTCAATGGTGACTTCATGACTGTTATTGCATTATTATTACTTACGATCTTGGTGTTGTTAAGGGCGCTGTTGTTTGAACTTCAGAGGAAATACAATCATGATCCATCAATTTATGTTATCATAAATATACTTTTGACTAAGATTCATTATGATCACCATCATTATCATTGTATCTTCAGTATATCTGTTCTTATTATAATTATTATTCCTTATTCCTTATAATATCATTATCATATTATAATATATATATATAACTTACTATCTGGTGTTGTTGAGGGCGCTGTTGTTTGAACTTCTGTGGAAATACAATCACGATTCATTAATTTATGTTGTCATAATGTCCTTATGATGAGGTTTTATCATGATCACCATCATTATCAGTATGGTTTTCATTATTAAAATTAATCACTATTCCTTTAAATATTATGATCATCATAAACAAGAGCAACAGCATAGAAACCATCGTCATAATCTTTGTTATCAAAATAGTAATTTCATTGATAATGATTGAGTATCAAAGAATAATTTCAACATAATATTATAAATAATAACACACCATAGCAAAATACTTTTATGATCACTGTAATATTTTAGATTATAAGTATTATACTGTATCATATAGTAAGTCAATGGTGACTTCATGACTGTTATTGCATATTATAACTTACGATCTGATGTTGTTAAGGGCGCTGTTGTTTGAATTTCTGTGGAAATACAATCATGATCCATTAATTTATGTTATCATAATGTCCTTATGATTAAGATTTATCATGATCATCATCATTACCAGTATCGTTTTTTATTACTATAATTAATCACTATTCCTTGTGATATTATGATCATCATAAACAGGAACAACAGCATAGAAACCATCGTCATAATCTTTATTATCAAAATAGTAATTTCAATGATAATCATTGAGTATCAAAGAATAATTTTCAAAATTATATTATAAATAATAACACACCATATCAAAGTACTTTTATGATCACTGTAATATTTTAGATCATTAGTATCATATTGTATCACTATATTAAGCAATTAGTAGAGCTCCGCATAGTACATTATAGGAAAATTATTATACGAAGGTTAGATTTAATGCTTGAAAAAAATTCCTGAGGGCCTGCAAGGCCCGAAGGAAATTTTTGAATGCATTAAATCTAACCTAAGTATAATAATTTTCCATTTAGTGTACGATGCATGCTCTACTAATTGCTTTTTAAGTCAATCGCCGTCTTTTTCATTTTAGTTTTTTATAACCAACTGTTGTTGTCATCGGTTGATATAGTGATATGATCAGTATACACGTGCGTATTTACATTTAGCAGTGCGTATGCTGATTTTTGCTCCTGCAGTATGCGTTTAATTAACTACACATCAGCAGTAAAGTACGGATACGATGAATATTGTGTTAAAAAGAACTTGTTTGTAATGCTTTTTTGATAAACCTTCCTCAAAGAAATAAACATTTCAGCATTCGAGAGAGAATACAGTCACTGACGTCCTTGTTGGTCGGTGTATGCAGACAAGTAAAATCGTGCGATGATTTCATAACTAGGCTAGGCTACGGCCTAGTAGTAGTAGGAGGAGGCCCGCGTGGCCTCATCATATCTTTATTATCAAAATAGTAATTTGAATAATAATCATTGAGTATCAAATAAGAATTTGAACTTAATATTATAAATAATAACACACCATAGCAAAATACTTTATGATCACTGTAATATTTTAGATCATAAGTATTATATTGTATCACTATATTTTCATTTAAAAGTCAATAGATGAAGTTATCAATGTATATTGTGACTTACGATCTGATGTTGTTGAAGGGGCTTTTGTTTGAACTTCTAATAATGTAAATGCACATCGGTTGATATCGAAAGGTCCAATGAGTGAGATTGAAATTAATTATGTGAGAGCACCATGCGTTATAGTAACTGTTGCCGAAGCAAGTTTAATAGATGGTCTTTCTTTAATGAAAACCTACGTGTTTAGCACTCCAAACGAATCTGTTAAAGTAGTGTGTGTCTCGGGTCTACATTATTCCTATTGAAGACTATTATTAGAGTCAGGGTGAATTATTTAATTATTTATTTATTTATTCTGGTATAAAAAACCCAAAATTTGACTTACCATGTCTATTTGTAAAACAGAACATAAGGCTTTTCCTTATTGCCATATTAAGTGATGTTAAAAAAAAACATGCTTAAAAAGTCTAGCGTAAATTAACACACAAAAAACAAAAATGAAATCATACAGAAAATTATGAAGAAAATTATGAAAGTTAAAACACATGAAAACCAAATCGAAGTCACGGAAACTACGACGGCTATTAAAATTCAAAATATGTAGAATGTAGAATCATATTTTGATATGAACATCGTTGATGGTCTTTGCTTGGACAATGTTTGAAGAAGGTGACCAAGGTGCCAGTCAGAAAAACTCTGTGCAAAAGAAAAATAGAAAAACCGGGATGGAAGAAGAAAAATAAATTCGAAAAAAAAAAACAACAGCTATTTCAAAACCAAATAATCAAGAAAGAAAAAAACAGGGAAATTTACTCGACGTTAGTAAGACACGAACTATAATTGCAGTGATAATAGCGATGGTGATATGGAGACTAATAACCATTGCGCACTATATGACCCGACCCTACGTAGGCCACTGCAAACGTAAATTGCGATTATATAGATTAATCACCCGTCCAATAAAATTCTTTAAATGGTCCGCATATATCAACACCCTACTCCGGATCCTCACCAAAATGTAATCACTTTTTCGTTATCGTTAATTTTAACTATTAACGTATAATCCACAATTAATGTCAAATGTTGTGATTGATGTGAATTTAATGGCTCTTTTGATAATTTAAATTTGAATTTGGAAACTAAATGATAAATTCTGTCTGTCTCGCACAAGAGCTGGAAACGAATTGCATAATGTTTTTTTTAAATAATAAATTGTATTGCATTATTACGTACCTTTGCGTGTTGACTTACTCCTTCAGACGTGACCCGTTTAATAGGGGATAACATGGGGAACCTGGCTTGTGACAATTGGACCAAGACGAACTATTCTGGAAAGTTTCATTTCAATCTGTTTTTAGACACGTTTTTACAGAGCAATTTAAATTACCCTGAAATTCACACCCGAATTTAGATCATCACTAAGATTTATAAAATACTTCCTTGTGACATGGTTAAAGTCACCAGAAGGTTGCATTCATATCAGTTGAATTTGGCAGGCTGAAATCGTTGGTTTACAGTGCAAAAACAAGTAATTAAACCAATATTAACAATAATAGGTTACACAACTACAACTACCAAAGCGTTTTCTAACTGAGAAAAGGGACTTCCACTAGTACAAGAGGTGTAAACCATAATACGGTTTCTGTAATAAATGCTGAGAAATTCTTCTTTTTATCTATTTGGAGAGTTAAATGTTATTTGATAAACCCAGAAGCTTCTAATAAAAATGTTCTTTATCATGCCAAAAATCAATACCATTAGGCCTATTCTTAGTGTTTGCATGCGTGTGATGGGTGGTGAAACCCCAGTTGATGTCATAAACTCATCTGAAAGGTGCCTGCAGCCTACACGTTTCATATATTTGACATCGAACACTCGGCCCTTAGATCCAAATATTTTTCCTCACTAGATTTAGCCAGAAGATATTTTCAGATTTCTGTAGACACTTATGCCCTTGAGAAAACGGCTTTTATGGTGCCGTTGTGTTTGTTTGAATTTATACGAATACCCTAAAAGTGGGTAAACAGTTCAAGTACATTCCAACGTATTGTTGAATTTGTAGTAGGTGATAAAAACTTAATAAAAATGGATTAATTATCTCGATGATATTTTGGTGTTCTTTCCAACTTTAGATGAACATATCCAGTTTAGAAGATGTTTTCACCAGCCTTACTAAGCAAGGGTAAAAGAATTAAAGGGAAAGACGTGCCTTTATCATACTGCCTTGTCTGAATAAACTAACCCATCATTAATAACGTAAAGTCAGTCAATAAAACAACCAACCAATTAACTAGTACAGCTAGGATATATAAATTCTACCACAACTTAACCTGCAAATATACATTATTAGAACTGGACTTTCAATAAAAGAAATATAATCCTAGTTTTAATATTATCGTTCAGTAAAACTAACATAACTAAGTTGGTATGTTTTAATTACTATTAACATTATTAATTCTTATTAATCCGGATAAATAAAAAAATATCGTGTAGTGCTATTAAGAACGAACAATTTATTGGTATAAACAATATTATTATTATCAAACATCATCGTCATTATCATTATCTTTATAACCATTATCACCGTCAACATCCTCGTCATCGTCGTCACTATAAACAATATTACTATAATCCTTACCATTATCATCATTTTCGTAAACATAATCATTACCTTCATCAAGAGCAACAGCACCAACGTCATAGTAATTGTCTTTTTCTTTATCAAAATAGTATTTTGAATACTGATAATCATTGACTTTTTAAATAATTTGAACTTAACATGTTTCCACACCACATCAAAATACTATTACGATTTACAATCACTTTATAATTTCAGATTATAGTTATTATTCTATATAACAAATATATATTCAATAGTGTACAATAAAATTTATTATTCTATATATAAATATGAATTCATCAGTATACAATAATGTAAAACTTACTATCTGTAGTTAAATAATCTGTTGTCACTAGATGTATAGTTAATTCATCTGGTGTAGTTTGCTCTGTAGTATCTACAATAGTTGTTAAATCGTCCAAATCTTTGTCTATTGTCGTTTCATCTGATGGTTGCTGTGTAGTTACTTCATCTGGTGTAGTTTCTTCATCTGGTGTAGTTTGCTGTGTAGTATCGACAATAGTTGTTAAATCGTCGAAATCTTCGTCTGTTGTTGTCTCATCTGGTGATTGCTGTGTAGTTAATAATTCATCTGGTGTAGTTTGCTGTGTAGTATCGACAATAGTTGTTAAATCGTCTAAATCGTAGTCTGTCGTCGTTTCATCTAATGATTGTTGTGTAGTTAATACATCTAGTGTAGTTTGCTGTGTAGTACCGACAATAGTTGTTAATTCGTCTAAATCTTCGTCTGTTGTCTCATCTGGTGATTGATGTGTAGTTAATAATTCATCTGGTGTAGTTTGCTGTGTAGTATCGACAATAGTTGTTAAATCGTCTAACTCTTCGTCTGTTGTCGTTTCATCTGAAGATTGCTCAGTAGTTAATTCATCTGATGTAGTTTCCAGTGTAGTATCGACAATAGTTGTTAAATCGTCTAAATTTTCGTCTGTTGTCGTTTCATCCGATGATTGCTGTGTAGTTAATTCATCTGGTGTAGTTTGCTGCGTAGTGTCGACAATAGTTGTTAAATCGTCTAAGTCTTCGTCTGTTGTCGTTTCATCTGATGATTTCTGTGTAGTTGATTCATCTGGTGTAGTTTGCTGTGTAGTATCGACAATAGTTGTTAAATCGTCGAAATCTTCGTCAGTTGTCGTCTCATCTGGTGATTGCAGTGTAGTTAATAATTCGTCTGGTGTAGTTTCCAGTGTCGTATCGACAATAGTTGTTAAATCGTCTAAATCTTCGTCTGTTGTAGTCTCATCTGGTGATTGCTGTGTAGTTAATAATTCATCTGGTGTAGTTTGCTGTGTAGTATCGACAATAGTGGTTAAATCGTCTAAATCTTCGTCTGTTGTCGTTTCATCCGATGATTGTTGTGTAGTTAATTCATCTGGTGTAGTTTGCTGCGTAGTGCCGACAATAGTTGTTGAATCGTCTAAAGCTTCGTCTGTTGTCGTTTCATCTGATGATTCCTGTGTAGTTGATTCATCTGGTGTAGATTGCTGTGTAGTATCGACAATAGTGGTTAAATCGTCGAAATCTTCGTCTGTTATCGTCTCATCTGGTGATTGCTGTGTAGTTAATAATTCATCTGGTGTAGTTTGCTGTGTAGTATCGACAATAGTTGTTAAATCGTCTAAATCTTCGTTTGTTGTCGTTTCATCTGATGATTGTTGTGTAGTTATTTCATCTGGTGTAGTTTGCTGCGTAGTGCCGACAATAGTTGTTGAATCGTCTAAATCTTCGTCTGTTGTCGTTTCATCTAATGATTCCTGTGTAGTTGATTCATCTGGTGTAGTTTGCTGTGTAGTATCGACAATAGTGGTTAAATCATCGAAATCTTCGTCTGTTGTCGTCTCATCTGGTGATTGCTGTGTAGTTAATAATTCATCTGTTGTAGTTTGCTGTGTAGTATCGACAATAGTTGTTAAATCGTCTAAATCTTCGTCTGTTGTCGTTTCATCCGATGATTGCTGTGTAGTTATTTCATCTGGTGTAGTTTGCTGCGTAGTGTCGACAATAGTTGTTAAATCGTCTACATCTTCGTCTGTTGTCGTTTCATCTGATGATTCCTGTGTAGTTGATTCATCTGATGTAGTTTGCTGCGTAGTATCGACAATAGTTGTTAAATCGTCGAAATCTTCGTCAGTTGTCGTCTCATCTGGTGATTGCTGTGTAGTTAATAATTCATCTGGTGTAGTTTGCTGTGTAGTATCGACAATAGTTGTTAAATCGTCTAAATCTTCGTCTGTTGTCGTTTCATCTGATGATTGTTGTGTAGTTAATTCATCTGGTGTAGTTTGCTGCGTAGTGTCGACAATAGTTGTTAAATTGTCTATATCTTCGTCTGTTGTCGTTTCATCTGATGATTCCTGCGTAGTTGATTCATCTAGTATAGTTTGCTGTGTAGTATCGACAATAGTTGTTAAATCTTCGAAATCTTCGTCTGTTGTCGTCTCATCTGGTGATTGCTGTGTAGTTAATAATTCATCTGGTGTAGTTTGCTGTGTAGTATCGACAATAGTTGTTAAATCGTCGTCTGTTGTCGTTTCATCTGATGATTGCTGTGTAGTTAATTCATCTGGTGTAGTTTGCTGCGTAGTGTCGACAATAGTTGTTAAATCGTCAAAATCTTCGTCTGTTGTCGTTTCATCTGATGATTCCTGTGTAGTTGATTCATCTGGTGTAATTTCCATTGTAGTATCGACAATAGTTGTTAAATCGTCTAAATCTTCGTCTGTTGTCGTTTCATCTGATGATTGTTGTGTAGTTAATTCATTTGGTGTAGTTTGCTGCGTAGTATGGACAATAGTTGTTGAATCGTCGAAATCTTCGTCAGTTGTCGTCTCATCTGATGATTCCTGTGTAGTTGATTCATCTGGTGTAGTTTGCTGTGTGGTATCGACAATAGTTGTTGAATCGTCTATATCTTCGTCTGTTGTCGTTTCATCTGATGATTCCTGTGTAGTTGATTCATCTGGTGTAGTTTGCTGTGTAGTATCGACAATAGTGGTTAAATCGTCGAAGTCTTCGTCTGTTGTTGTCTCATCTGGTGATTGCTGTGTAGTTAATAATTCATCTGGTGTAGTTTCCAGTGTAGTATCGACAATAGTTGTTAAATCTTCGAAATCTTCGTCTGTTGTCGTCTCATCTGGTGATTGCTGTGTAGTTAATAATTCATCTGGTGTAGTTTGCTGTGTAGTATCGACAATAGTTGTTAAATCGTCTAAATCGTCGTCTGTTTTCGTTTCATCTGATGATTGCTGTGTAGTTAATTCATCTGGTGTAGTTTGCTGCGTAGTGTCGACAATAGTTGTTAAATCGTAGAAATCTTCGTCTGTTGTCGTTTCATCTGATGATTCATGTGTAGTTGATTCATCTAGTGTAGTTTGCTGTGTAGTATCGACAATAGTTGTTAAATCGTCGAAATCTTCGTCAGTTGTCGTCTCATCTGATGATTCCTGTGTAGTTGATTCATCTGGTGTAGTTTCCATTGTAGTATCGACAATAGTTGTTAAATCTTTTAAATCTTCGTCTGTTGTCGTTTCATCTGATGATTGTTGTGTAGTTAATTCATTTGGTGTAGTTTGCTGCGTAGTATCGACAATAGTTGTTAAATCGTCGAAATCTTCGTCAGTTGTCGTCTCATCTGATGATTCCTGTGTAGTTGATTCATCTGGTGTAGTTTGCTGTGTAGTATCGACAATAGTGATTAAATCGTCGAAATCTTCGTCTGTTGTTGTCTCATCTGGTGATTGCTGTGTAGTTAATAATTCATCTGGTGTAGTTTCCAGTGTAGTATCGACAATAGTTGTTAAATCTTTTAAATCTTCGTCTGTTGTCGTTTCATCTGATGATTGTTGTGTAGTTAATTCATCTGGTGTAGTTTGCTGCGTAGTATCGACAATAGTTGTTGAATCGTCTAAATCTTCGTCTGTTGTCGTTTCATCTGATGATTCCTGTGTAGTTGATTCATCTGGTGTAGTTTGCTGTGTAGTATCGACAATAGTTGTTGAATCGTCTAAATCGTCGTCTGTTGTCGTTTCATCTGATGATTCCTGTGTAGTTGATTCATCTGGTGTAGTTTGCTGTGTAGTATCGACAATAGTGGTTAAATCGTCGAAATCTTCGTCTGTTGTCGTCTCATCTGGTGTTTGCTGTGTAGTTAATAATTCATCTGGTGTAGTTTCCAGTGTAGTATCGACAATAGTTGTTAAATCGTCTAAATCTTCCTCTGTTGTCGTTTCATCTGGTGATTGCTGTGTAGTTAATAATTCATCTGGTGTAGTTTGCTGTGTAGTATCGACAATAGTTGTTAAATCGTCTAAATCTTCGTCTGTTGTCGTTTCATCCGATGATTGTTGTGTAGTTAATTCATTTGGTGTAGTTTGCTGCGTAGTGTCGACAATAGTTGTTAAATCGTCGAAATCTTCGTCTGTTGTCGTTTCATCTGATGATTCCTGTGTAGTTGATTCATCTAGTGTAGTTTGCTGTGTAGTATCGACAATAGTTGTTAAATCGTCGAAATCTTCGTCAGTTGTCGTCTCATCTGGTGATTGCTGTGTAGTTAATAATTCATCTGGTGTAGTTTCCAGTGTAGTATCGACAATAGTTGTTAAATCGTCTAAATCTCCGTCTGTTGTCGTTTCATCTGATGATTGTTGTGTAGTTAATTCATCTGGTGTAGTTTGTTGCGTAGTGTCAGCAATAGTTGTTGAATCGTCTAAATCTTCGTCTGTTGTCGTTTCATCTGATGATTCCTGTGTAGTTGATTCATCTGGTGTAGTTTGTTGTGTAGTATCGACAGTAGTGGTTAAATCGTCTAAATCTTGGTTTGTTGTCGTCTCATCTGTTGATTGCTGTGTAGTTAATAATTCATCTGGTGTAGTTTCCAGTGTAGTATCGACAATAGTTGTTAAATCGTCTAAATCTTCGTCTGTTGTCGTTTCATCTGATGATTGTTGTGTAGTTAATTCATCTGGTGTAGTTTGCTGCGTAGTGTCGACAATAGTTGTTGAATCATCTAAATCTTCGTCTGTGGTTTCATCTGATGATTCCTGTGTAGTTGATTCATCTGGTGTAGTTCGCTGTGTAGTGTCGACAATAGTTGTTAAATCGTCTAAATCGTCGTCTGTTGTCGTTTCATCTGATGATTCCTGTGTAGTTGATTCATCTGGTGTAGTTTGCTGTGTAGTATCGACAATAGTGGTTAAATCGTCGAAATCTTCGTCTGTTGTCGTCTCATCTGGTGATTGCTGTGTAGTAAATAATTCATCTGGTGTAGTTTCCAGTGTAGTATCGACAATAGTTGTTAAATCGTCTAAATCTTCGTCTGTTGTCGTTTCATCTGGTGATTGCTGTGTAGTTAATAATTCATCTGGTGTAGTTTGCTGTGTAGTATCGACAATAGTTGTTAAATCGTCTAAATCTTCGTCTGTTGTCGTTTCATCCGATGATTGCTGTGTAGTTAATTCATTTGGTGTAGTTTGCTGCGTTGTGTCGACAATAGTTGTTAAATCGTCGAAATCTTCGTCTGTTGTCGTTTCATCTGATGATTCCTGTGTAGTTGATTCATCTAGTGTAGTTTGCTGTGTAGTATCGACAATAGTTGTTAAATCGTCGAAATCTTCGTCAGTTGTCGTCTCATCTGGTGATTGCTGTGTAGTTAATAATTCATCTGGTGTAGTTTCCAGTGTAGTATCGACAATAGTTGTTAAATCGTCCAAATCTTCGTCTGTTGTCGTTTCATCTGATGATTGTTGTGTAGTTAATAATTCATCTGGTGTAGTTTGCTGTGTAGTATCGACAATAGTTGTTAAATCGTCTAAATCTTCGTCTGTTGTAGTTTCATCTGATGATTGTTGCGTAGTTAATTCATCTGGTGTAGTTTGCTGCGTAGTGTCGACAATAGTTGTTAAATCGTCGAAATCTTCGTCTGTTGTCGTCTCATCTGGTGATTGCTGTGTAGTTAATAATCTGTCTCTTATACACATCTAGATGTGTATAAGAGACAGGGTGTAGATTGCTGTGTAGTATCGACAATAGTGGTTAAATCATCGAAATCTTCGTCTGTTGTCGTCTCATCTGGTGATTGCTGTGTAGTTAATAATCTGTCTCTTATACACATCTAGATGTGTATAAGAGACAGGGTGTAGATTGCTGTGTAGTATCGACAATAGTGGTTAAATCATCGAAATCTTCGTCTGTTGTCGTCTCATCTGGTGATTGCTGTGTAGTTAATAATCTGTCTCTTATACACATCTAGATGTGTATAAGAGACAGGGTGTAGATTGCTGTGTAGTATCGACAATAGTGGTTAAATCATCGAAATCTTCGTCTGTTGTCGTCTCATCTGGTGATTGCTGTGTAGTTAATAATCTGTCTCTTATACACATCTAGATGTGTATAAGAGACAGGGTGTAGATTGCTGTGTAGTATCGACAATAGTGGTTAAATCATCGAAATCTTCGTCTGTTGTCGTCTCATCTGGTGATTGCTGTGTAGTTAATAATCTGTCTCTTATACACATCTAGATGTGTATAAGAGACAGGGTGTAGATTGCTGTGTAGTATCGACAATAGTGGTTAAATCATCGAAATCTTCGTCTGTTGTCGTCTCATCTGGTGATTGCTGTGTAGTTAATAATCTGTCTCTTATACACATCTAGATGTGTATAAGAGACAGGGTGTAGATTGCTGTGTAGTATCGACAATAGTGGTTAAATCATCGAAATCTTCGTCTGTTGTCGTCTCATCTGGTGATTGCTGTGTAGTTAATAATCTGTCTCTTATACACATCTAGATGTGTATAAGAGACAGGGTGTAGATTGCTGTGTAGTATCGACAATAGTGGTTAAATC